TAATGCCTATTTGCCCACTCGAGTTATATGCAAATGATTCTACAGTATTTCAAAGAGAAGGGGCCCTCTCCTCTTTTGTGAACAATATTTGTCCTTAGTCAGCATCTAAAATACATGGTCTGGTAACTTATGTTGTTGTTGCTTGTGATAATTAGCTGATCCAGACTACTTTTTAACTACACTAGGATTGATAATGGTGAGGGAGATAAAAAAATCTATACTAGAATTATGACTGCACTTCAAAAGTGCTTTATTGGCTGTAAACTATTGGAAACATCCAGAGCTAATGAAAGACACTGTACTAATACATCTTTCTTGCTTACACTTTGTTTTGGACATTTTTGATTTAGAACTATTTTCCTTCCCAAATTGGAGATGTCTATACATACAATGAAGCTAAATATCTCAAAATTAACTGCAATGTATTCACACCAGCCTTTGAAACAAGAAAGTAGCAGCAACCCTGTGATGGCAAAATTACAATACAAATGGACTGTAAAGGGTTGGAATTCACTGCCATTGGCATGAATCACAAATTCTTGTTTAACAGAATAATTACACTGGGCATTATTGTAAGGACAGCAGTATTTAAAGCACCTTGCATTGTCATCTTATTTAAAGTAGACAGGATGATTAAGTGGTGACCTAATTTTATGTAGTAGCATAAGATGAATGTACAAGTTAGTGAAGGTAGTTGATTGAATGAGATCTCAAGCAGTATGAGCTAACGGCACCGGGTTAGTGAAATTTGACAGGACAATTGTTAGGACTATTGGACTTTATGTTGTAAACTGTCTATTTTAATTTAAAGTCGAATGAAGTAGTTACGGGGGGGTTTGAATAGCTAAGAATTGTGCTTGGAGACAAGCCCATGTGACTTGGTTGTCATGGGAACAGTGGCCCAGTCAAAACATATTGAAAGTAAAAAATGCAAGTTTTAATATTCTGTTATGACCCGACCCTGGACAAGTTATCATAGTCCCAAATAGGATATCCTGAATCAGTCAGCTTCCGAGTGAGGAGGGATAAATGATACTGGTTCTTTATTCAACCACATCTTGGATTGGTTGCAACAAAGTTAATTTAAAATAAAAGGATCCCTCCCTTGTGGATGCCATTCTCCAAGACCAAATGAGCCAATTTAACCAAGTTTTCTTGAGTTAACAAAACAGAGTTTATTCGTAACTAAACATGTGAAGAAATAGTAATACACCACACACAGATTAGAAATGAGAAATTAGTTTTTAAAAAATAGTTAAAAGGTATACCGAGCAGTCTCAAAGGGTTCTTTGTTTAAAGTACATTGTGGAATGTTGATAGTTGAATGGTTGATTTTGCGTTCTTGGCTTTGCAGATGAATTGAAATTCTTTTGTCCTCCTTCCTTTTGACAGTGACTCGCTGGCAGAATTCAGAAAGTCCTTTTTTGCCCTGTTTCCATTAACTGGCTACTGGCTACAAGTACATAAGAGGCAGAGATTCCTTTATCTGTAATGCTGTAGGTGATTCTTCAGCTGTGACCTTCATAGCACATTACTGTTTGAAGTTTCAAGGTGTGGAGCTGGAGAACACAGCAGGCCAGGCAGCATCAGAGGAGCAGGAAAGCTGACGTTTCGAGTCAGGACCCTTCTTCAGAAAAAATCCAGTCTAGAACACATGAATACCTCAGTCCAGTGACACACAAAAGCACCTCAGCTCACTAGCACATCTTCTTCCACTAGCACCCAAAGACCAGGGTTGAGCTGGCTTTTTAACTCATTCTTGTATATTTTTAAAAGGGCAAAAAAAAATGCTTGCCTAGAAGCTGTTTCTTTGCTTCGATCACATTCACAGTCAGAGATAACTCCAAGAAGATTACATATCAATTTATATTGCATTTTCTCCTTTTTAAGTTCATCCCTTTGATGCTTGACACCTTATGAGGTGTGACATTCCAGGGGTTCTCGCTCCAGACCCTACTGAATTTACATCTGTAGTCATTTGCATGGTTATACGGGTCCTCTTTTTAAAAACATGCTAGAACTGAAAGTTTGAAGTGTTTATCAGTGATCTTAAGTTATGATCAATGTATGACAATATGTATGACAAATTGTATGACAATACAATGGAGAAGGTAGGTGATCCTGTGGTAAACAGACTCTTAAAGAGTCAGTCAGACAGATCTGGAAGCAAGATGCACGACAGATGATTAATGCAAAGCAGAAAAAGACAACTATTTTTGGGTAAATCATCAAGCAAGATGCTGTTAAGGATTGATTCCCAGTTTGTAGAGATGAGGTTTCTGACACTGAGTGAGGGAACTTCTGTAAATACTGTATTTTTTTCCTTTTTCTGTATTTTTGATTGTGGACTGAAATGGGAAAAGGGCTGTTTTATAAACCAAGGATTGTGGAAAGAAGCACTGCACTTTCTAAAATCAAGTTACTTGGCATTGTAAATGTTGTTTACACTGTCGTTCATTTTGACAGGACAGGAGATTACTGCAGATAAGTTGGAGCCAGTACAAAAGGGAGATGTGACCAGCAACAAGTAGCTGATTAGTCTTTGTAAGGTTAGGCAGGTAAATTGGGAAATTTCAGGTACTTTTATAAAATCTTTAACTTTACTAACAACTCTGGGAATTGCTGGGTTTGGTTTCTCATGTACTACCCCTGTGAGGTCTAACACTATTTTTAAATAACACCAAAGTTCACCCTGGTATGGCTGGGAGAAAAGGTCCTGCCAAAAATAAGGAGAATCTGGGTGCTTTGTACAAAAGACTACCTCTTGACTTGGCTTGGGGTTGTTCAGTTTGTTAAGATGTTAGTGGAGAATACCCAAGGGAGTTAGCAAGGTGAGGTAATATGGGAAAAAGAGAAGGGTGGGAAATGTGAGGTGCAGGAGGGTGGTAGCAAGGTAGAGCAGCAGAGTCATAGATTGGCATGATAAGGTGATTGGTAGGTAGAATGGCAGGGTGATATGATGACAGGTGGGTAGGGTGCAAAGGTGGCAGTTGGCAGAACTGTAGGCTGGTAGAGTGGAAAAGGTGATGGGTGAGTAGAGTGTTAATGGGCTGATCATCAAAGTGGTAGATAAATATGGTGGTAAGGTAGGTAAGGAGCTGAGATGATATGCTAGCAGTGTAGCGAGAGCTAAGGTGGTTAGGGGACAGGGAAACTGGTGATGGTCTATGTTGGATGTGCAGTTCAACCCTGTATTGGGTTGAATGGGAATGTGGGGGCTGACGGGCAAGGTGTATTGGATGGGGAGGATTTAGGAGTTGTGTGTTAGTTCCAGAATTAAGAATTGGGTGTCCATGGGGGCATTGTGTTTATTTTGCGGGTGCAGGGGGGGAAATTGGGTGTCCATGGGGTATGTTGGGAGACATGGAGAAGTCAGCGTGTGTCAGGGGGATGCTGTCAGGTGGTCGGATATGGGGTGGGGGTTCAGTGATGAGTGTGAACGATTAAATACTAATGAGAGATTGATGATTGCTCGTCACTGAACAGGTTCAGGACAAGCTTGTGCTGCCAATCTCCAGTGCTGGCCCCTCAGCCACAATTCCCTTATGCACTGTGATGAGACATAAACTGTGCTGCACACTGCCCAGGTGTGGGAGCAAATTACTGCAGATGCTGGAATCTGAACTGAAAACAATAAATGCTGGAGAGATGATAGCGGGTCAGGCAGCATCCATGGAGATAGAGAAAGCTAATGTTTCAAGTCTAAGTGACTCTTCACCTGGTATGTCACCTCCTGCGGGGGCCTGATCACCTTAAAACTCAGCAAATGAGGGACCATTTGCTTGGCTCCAAGGATCTGTACTTGTAAAATAAAAAGTGTGATGAGTTTTGGGAAGAGACGAGAATCTACTCAAGTCTCTGTCTCTAACTCAGAAGTAGGGATATTTTTTTAAACTGCCAGGTAAATGCCACCAGTTCCCAGGCACTTTCCGCAGTTTCAATTTTACAGGGATTTCTACCTGGTAATTCTACACCGCACCACTGCAACGACAATCCCAAGCTGCAATATCTAATGAAGACCTTCCCAGGTTTGCAACTGGTTAGAGCCAATCCATGGGTAGCCATGTGCAACTGGTTCAACGTTGGGTTTCGTAAAATTCTTCTTTTTTAAAAAAATTAAGTTCAAACTGACATTTTGACCACGCTGAAGCTCTGATCCTTCAAGTCCCAGTATATCAGAGGCCTGGTATAACATTCACAGCGGGTCAGGCAGCATCCATGGAGAGAGAGCAAGATCATGTTTCGACTCTAGGTTCCTCTTTATCAGAGCTGGTGAAGTGTGGAGGGTTCAGTATTTGTGCTACGGTTGGGGGTGCGGAATGCTGGGGGTAGGGGGTAAGAAAGGATGTTGACATTGCGGATTAAGTGTTCGGAATGTGAGACTGGCAGAACAATGGGGTGTCTAACTGCCAGAATGGAAAGAACAGGCATTCCCCTCTGGGGTGAGTGGGGGGGCCCGAAAGTTGCTCTCTCCTATCGCCTGGCCCATGGCGACAACCACCGGGCCCCTCGCCCCAGGTGCCCCGGCTGGCATCCGCAGCGGGTCAGTTTGACGGTATGGGGGGAGGGAACAATGTTATTCCCGCTCGTTTGGTATCCTCTTACCGCGACCCCCTCCTCCGCCCACCCGCGAAGCTTGGATTCAATTCAAGCCCAAACGCCTCATCCCCACCGAACCCTCCAGCCCGCCGCTTACGTGCATCCTTCAGGCCGGGCGTTGAAAACGTCCGAAGCCAAGACAGCGGGCGATCCGAGCGTTGCTGCCCTTTGACCCGGAGAGGACAGCGAGGTAAGGTGGTGGACGGGAAGAGCCCCAGGGGGTGGGTGGTGAGGAGTGTGTTCCTGTCTCTCTACCTCTCCCTTGGTAAGGGTGTGTGTGGGAGAGGGGAAGGGAAGGGTGCCTCTCTCTGTCTCCGGGCGGGTGACGGTTGGTGCTGGAATGCTGCAGCAGTTTTGAAACAGCCCCGCGGCGCGAGCGTGAGCGCGCCGTCTGCACCTTGACCTCCCCGCTCAAACAAAACTGACCCTCCGGGGGGAGGGGAAACAATCAACCCAGACCTGCCGGCACTTATAGACCAGTGCAAAATATTTATTACAGTCTTTGTACCCAAGCGGTGACAGAAGTACGTCGCCGTTATGCTGATAGGCGTGACGGACGTTATTCCGGCGGAGGCGGGAGTCCTGTTCGTTGGGACCACGCGGGAATCCCCATTGCAGCCGACACTGTGAACGGTAGGCCTGGAACGTCTCCGTTTCGAGTCATGAATTCGGAGGGTTCCAATGAAATTGGGGATAATCTACTCTTGACTCTTGGGTAACTATTTGTCTCTACAAACTACCCGTTCCCTGTTAGTTCCTGACCCGACCCGCAATGAGGGATCTCATTGAAACTTGCAGAATACAGCACAGAGACAGACCCTTCGGTCCAACCAGCCCATGCCGGCCTGATATCCTAAATTAATCTAGTTCCATTTGCCAATATTGGACCCATCTGACCTACATGACATGATGGTGACAGGGTACTTTGCAGCTCCACTCTGCTTGCCAGTTCCTTTTCCTTTTCTTCTCTCTCCTCTCTGCAGTAATTCTATTCCCCTCCCACCCCCCGACCTTTTAACTAACTACCTAAGGAGTCAAGTAGGAGCTGGGTCACGAGCAGGCACCCGCATGGCGGGAGCTGAATGCACAGGCCGTGTCCTGCAGCAATGGCAGATCGAGCGTGAGCCAAAGCGACCATGGCGGATCAAGAGTGGGCCGGTTCAGCGGTGAGGTAGTGGCGGTGAGAGCGAATTGTGAGGCAGCAGCAGTCGGTGGCGAGAGTGGGCCTTTCGCATGGCAGTAGCTGCCTCCTGGGTGTCCTAGTGATTGGAGCAGCATCACTGTGGAGATAGGACTTGGGGCTCAGATCTGGACTTTTCTTTTTTCCTTGCTTACCTTTTGGCTCTGTTAAAATCTTTTAATTCTGGACTTTGTAACCAAGTGGGCGCCATTGAATGGCAACTTTGTGCACTTTTAGCTGTACTTATGTATTCCTATACTTAGTACATGTGACAAAAGATAAATCTAAACCCTTCCTATTCACATACCTGTGCCTTTTAAATATTGTCATTGTACCAGCCTTTGCCACTTCCTCTAGCAGCGCATTCCATACATACACCACCTTCTACATGAAAAAGTTGCCCCTTAGGTACCTTTTAAATCTTTCCCTTTCAACTTAAACCTATGCTGCCTAGTTTTGAGTTCTCCCACCCCAGAAGACCTTGGCTATTCATCCTATCTATGCCCCTCGTGATTTTATAAACCTTTATTAAGGTCATCTCTTCGGCACCAATACTCCAGGGACAGTAGCCTCTGGCTATTCAGCCTCTCCCTATAATGCAAACCCTACAAACCTGGCAACATCCTTATAATTTTTTTCTGTGCCCTTTGAAGTTTAACAACATCTTTCCTATAGCAGGGAGACCAGAATTGAATGCAGTATTCCAAAAGTGGCCAATACTGAGATGCCTGGTTAGAGTGGACATGGAGAAGCTGCTTCCACTGGGAGGAGAGACTAGGATTCAAGGTCACTGTGTCAGATTGAGAGGATAACCCTTTAGAACTGAGATGAGGAGGAATGTCTTCAACCGGAGGATAGTGAATCTGTGGAACTCATTGCCACAGAAAGCTGTAAAGGCCAAATCATTGAGTGTGTTTAAGATAGAGACAGGTTGTTGATTAGTAAGTGGATCAAAAGTTACAGGGAGAAGGCAGGAGAATGGGGTTTAGAAATGTATCAGTTATGACCAAATGACAGAGTAGATTCAATGGGCCAAATGGGCTAATTCTGCTCCTATATCTTATTGTCTTAATATTCTTACCCTTGTGTTGGCGAAAAAATATACATAGTTCCTTATAAGCTTCAAAATCATGGACTCATGGTCTTCCACTTGTTTGCCAGAAACTATCAATATATAGGAACCTTGGAAGTCCTGAGGCACTGCCGTAATTGCCTGGAAAGTTTAATCTTCCCAACTCTGAGTTAAAGTCAGAGACTTAAAAGGGTTATAGTTACCTTATAGTTAGCCAGGAAAAGTTTGAGGGACCAAAACCTGCTCTAATTGGTCTGCAGACTCCCGGAATACCTGACCCCACCAACCATACACTCCTCCTTAATAGCTAAACGCCCACCTGACACACAACTCTCTGATACCTGACCCACCTTAACCCCCATCCAAATAACTGCAGGCTATCTGCTCTCACAATTTATCTGCCATCCGACCTCTTCGCCCATTTAACTGCCCTCCTTACTCCATCTGCCATCCTCCCCCATCACCCACCCAACTCTACCTTCTTAAGCACCTCTCTCTGTGGCTTGTCAAAGTACTTTTGTGGCATTTAAACCCTGGAATAACTGCTTAAAAAGGATTTGGTTTGGCCTCCTGGACTTCACTAGAAGGTTTCCTGATCAGTTCCAAGTTTCTGAAGAGGCCCAAATGGGAAGTTTGGGCCAGAAACGTGGAACTCTTGGCAGGCTATGTGAAAAAGTAGCTGTCATTGCCACTCCTTTGAAGATTTGCCCCGATATTGAGAATGCATATTGGGTTATACAAAAAGTGCCTTTTGGATTTTTACCAAACCAAACAGATCATCGCTATCCCAAAAATTGACTTGGCAATTTTTATTCTACATCCATTTTTTCAGTACCCAGTTCAAAAAAATACTTACTCGAACACCACTCTTCCAACTCAATTAACTGTCTGCTATAACAGAGTTGCAAGGATTACACTGTCTTTCTCTAGTCTCACTACTCCACCATTACAACATACATTTACACAGAAAATGCTAATAACATTAACATTGTTTCTCTTTCCACAGATTTTACCAGACCTGCTGTGTTTCTCCAGTATTTTGTCTTTGTTGCAGATTTCTAGCATCCACTGTACTTTTTTATGACTTTAATTGTTTTATTCAGTTCCAGATATAGCCAATCATACACTTTCTCCACATTAGACAAAAAGATCTATCAATCAGACTCCTTTAACAAAATTATAATTGATTTATTATAAAATAAAACTTATCAAAGTAAATGCAAAATTGGCTAATACATTCAGTTAATATCACAAAAATATAAATGTTTACCCCTCTACATATCCCAAAATATAAATTCACACAGGTTTGATAAGAGCAATATAAAACATTCTCTGTACAGATTCAGTTTTCAAGAATAAATAATTTTGGCTAATAAGTATTCAAGGCAAAAAAGGATAAAAGTTTGACATGTTCAAATGGCTGCTGGTCTAATGATCTAGCATACAAATGTGGATATTGCTGACACATCCTGTTGTCTCTGGGAATCTTTGCAAATGCAGTCATTCAGGAAATATTGTTGATCCCTTTCAGAGGGTTCTCTTGCAAAAGCAGCTAGTCCAGGGCTCCAGATACCATACGGGGCCACAAAAAGGATTCTTTTCCCAGACCCAGGAGAATTGACCTGTCAAGTTCCTTTCCTTCAACAGGCTTCTCTTCAACTACCACAAACAATATCCAAAACGGAAACTGGAACTTAACAGTCACAAACCCTGCATGTGGTCTCCAATATACAAGCAGTTAGCACAAGAAATGAGACTACCAAAAAAATGCATTGTTCCACTGTCTTTTCATTGACCTGTTCAAAAAAACTTCCAGATATCCATAGTAATTCAAGTCCAAATCCACATTATTAGTAAATACATAGCATATTACACTGTACCCCATTCAGTTTACTACTCTTTAATAAACACTCCTTCCTCCAATCATTCTAGTTCATATCTGAAATAAAACAAAGAACTGGATGCTGGAAATCTGAAACAAAAACAGAAATTGCTGGTAAAACTCAGCACGTCTGGCAACAACTGGGGAGAAAGCAGTATTAACGATTCAAGTCAGGTGATTGTTCATGAGAACTGTATCGAGTTCGGATGAGGTGCCACCAGACCTGAAACATTAATTCTGCTTTCTCCTCACAAATGCTGCCAATGATTGAAATTTAGGTTGCAGATGAACTGGAGCCCAGGGCTTGTATTCAAATAGAGCTTTGGTTGGCAACATGAAGTTGATTCATCTATAGACTAGTGACTAGTTACAGATGACAAAGGCCATTTTGCCTGCCAGCAACCGTGTGATTGGTTATCAGGTAACTGAACTTGGGGTTAGAAACAAGGTACAGAGAAGTGATCAGATGTCCACCATCTCAGGAGCTGTCCCTCTATTTCCTGCCGTCAAAACCGACTTCTAAACCTGAAGAAAACCAGTTTGCCTTTCCTTCAACAGTTTCTGTAAGCTGTGACTTTTTATTGATGAGTCAAAGTCATTTTATATGTGAACTAGCCACCTTGTTCCTCCTGCAAACTTGTGGAAGCATTCAGAAAAGAGAAGCCATGGGGTAACCTGATCAGCAAGAATCAACTCAACAGACCTTGTGAACAAAGACTACTGAACTTCTTTGCAGTTTTCACCTTCATCCAAGTGTTTTTTTTAAGGAGATAAAAATGTTAGTTATTAATGTTATAACTGTTTACCTACAGCTAGATTCTAATTACTTGTAATAAATAGTAATTCTCGTTGAGTACAGAATCATGGTTCATGCTTTCTATAAATCTCAGGCTGAAAATCAAGTAACTTGATGAAGTTTGTGTACTTATTTTAAACTTTAACTTTTACGACATAGAGGCAATACGCAGGATCGATTTCCAGCATGCTACGTCAGTGACTTCTGACACATCAGAATGAAGGATGCATCCCTATTATCTCAGCAATAATCTTACAGGCACACTGACCGCCATCAAGAGTTACCTTTATCTCAACACTAAAGTGCTTGGTCTGCTGAAATGGTTATAATCAGTTTCCTTTCGAAAAATTCTGTGCATTTACTCAATGCTATTTTCTTTAGATAATATCTCTCTCCAACACATTTATAACAAACTGTTTAGTTCACTTCTTACTTATAATGGGCTTCCTAAAGTCATGTCTTCAGCACCCTGGAGGCTGATGTCCTCTCTGACACCTCCATAACCTTCATCTTCTGGAGTTTTCTTCTCAGAACTTTTCTCCAGCTAATTTCTCCTAAGCTGTACAGCTTAAAGGGAACATTTGTCTCCAACATGAGTGCTTGAAGACAGCTAAGAAAAGCAACTCTGCTATTATGTTACTTCCCCTCCATGAACTTGTTTTGGGCCTTCTGTCCACTTCGCTTACAACTTAAGTCAGGAAAC